TTTTTTTTTTTTTTTTTTTTTTTTTTTTTTTTTTGTGAACATACAATTCATGCAAGAGGAAGTGCAACAAATCTTTGAAAAATAAATTTAAAAATTTGTTGGTACAGCAACAAAACGCGGTTTCTGCCCAAACATGTTTTAAAAAATGGTTGTGGCAAAGTATCTTTTTCAAGAAGCTTGATTCGATCTAGAGCATAATATTATAAAGTATAGCATGGAGAATTGCAATAGATTAGATTAGTGTCTTCAAGGAAGGTACTGCCTAATGGGACGGAGACTTAACCAAGCAAGTGGATATTAATGTCTGCAATCTTCTCTACTCTGCCAGTGTTTCAATTATGGGTGTATTAAAAATTGGTAAATGCTAATCAGTGTAAAGGAAATTAGTTAATAAATTAAAAAAATATATTATTAATATACGTAATTTAAAGTGAATGCGAAGTAAATGGTATTTATATATATATATATAGGAGAGTGAATGACATTTTTGGGTAGAAAATAAAGGTCACTAACTTGATACCTTTACGCTAAGTGTAGCTTCAACAAGCTTTCCTATCACGAACAAGCATCTGGAGCACGAAATAATATCATAAAATGCTTGATTCGGGGTTGAGAAATTTGCATAAATTTCTACGCATGGAAATAAAACATGTTTAGGTATCTTTTTGGCAAAATCTACACGGTTTTAGTATAACATACCGTTAATTATATCACCTAGTTATAATCAATTTGGTATGAGTTGTTCCACTTGAGTGATGGATAAGTAGTTGTTTTAAATAGATGATACAAAATTTATTTAGTATAATTTGACTCATTGATAGAATGTTTATCATCTCATTATATATTACAAGTTTTTGAAGAAACTTGATAATTTTTTTTTACAAGTTTTATAATTGAAACTTTGTAGAACCATCCTTACAATTTTTTTTTTGGTGAAATTTGGTAAAATTTTCTTTTCATCATATATCCATCTCTCTCATTTAGACCGATGTAAATTGATCTTTTCATATAATAATTTTTATTTATTAATCTAATATTCTAATCTTAATAAAAGAGAAAATAAAAACTTCAAATGAGTGGGATATCTCACTGTGGGGGTTTTATTTAATTCTAAACAATATTTTAAAGAAAAATGATATCATTTTATCTACAAACAATATTTTCGAAATTTGAAATTAAAATTTTGAATTTTTAAACCAACATTGCATCTTGTTATTTGGTCTTGATGAGAGAAGACATTTCACTGTGGAGTGTTGAGAACCAGGACACACACAGTGTCAACACCTTTATTTATATTTGTTACCGTAACAGTGCTCAATAAACTTGCCATGCTCATGGGTACAGTGAACTTAGAATACATTATAGTTATACATCTCATATGTAGTACATAATTAATACGTAGTATATATTATTCCCTTGTGGCATTCAATTTGCATGCCAGCTGTCCCGAAACTCTATAATGGCAATTAGTTGTATTCAATTATTATTACTATATAATTGGTGATTTGCACCATATACAATGGCACTTGAGTGATTTAGAATTGAAACAAGGGTGTAATATGAAGGATCTAACTATAAAAGAGGTGTGACACGAGTTTAAGCTCTGTACCAATGCTTTGATTTGCTCAGTAATATTCACAAATTAAGTCATAACATATTATTGACTCAAATGGGTATAGCAGAAGCATGCTCCAGATTCCTGGTAGACTTTTTACAAGCATTAAAAGCCTCCCTTCCAATAAGCTCAGTGTCTCACCTTGATCATCACAATCACCACCCTACATGCAAGCCAGAGAATATGGTGAAAATTGATGACAAGATGGTAAGTGCCCTTGTCACAGTTTTTGGCATGGAAACCAATGGGAGAATCAAGAAGGAGAATGCTAGGCAAGTGGTGGAGAAGCTTGGTTTGATGTGTGGTTGTGAGGGTGAAAATGAGGATAAGACTTCATCAGGGTTTGAGCTAGGTGGTGAGGGTGGCTTGATGGATGATGATGAAGTGCCTGTGGAAGATGTGCTTGGTGAGTTGGAGGACGTGTCAAAGCGCAGTGAGCTGTTGCATGAGGCCTTCAAGATCTTTGATGAGGATGGAGATGGATACATAGATGCAATGGAGTTGAAGAGGGTGCTTCATTGCTTGGGATTGGATAAGGGTTGGGACATGAGTGCTATTGAGAACATGGTCAAGGTTGCTGATTTGAACTTTGATGGCAAGGTTGATTTTGGTGAGTTTGAATTGATGATGGGGTAGGGTACCAGTTATACAAATTCTTTGATCTTAGGAATAATGGTTGAGCTGCTAATTGTATATTCATTTATTTATTCCAGCATTCTATCAAGAATCAAGAATTCAAGTATGAAGATTGTTTTATTTTGCATTATCTGTTTTCTTCATTTCTTATTGCACTTTTGTAGGCAAATTCCATTTAGCTAGCCTTTTCATCATTTCTAGAGTTCACACATTTTTGTTTATTCTGTTTTTCCATGCATAAGAAATTGTAAATTTCAGCTCATGAACAGTTGTTCCACTGCTTCCTGGTTATATTAAAGGAGGCAAAAAATCTAAGCAGTAACATAATTCAATGAACTAGAAGCATATAAATTTGTATAAAATTTAAGCATCATCTGTTATTTGTAAGAGTGATATTGCGATAGTATTGTCAACCAAAGTTGAATAGTTTACTATCCATTCAACAATAAATTAATGGTATTCTAATAAACTAATTGATTAATTTTTATTATCGACCTAATGTATGGACATGATGAATAGTAGGTAAATTGCCCTTAAGTTCTTAATCGTAGGGTCCATATCTTTCTGTATATACAAATGAAAATATATAAACAAAATAAAATTAGATAGACGAAGTTTTGAAACAAGAAAAAGATCTCACTTGCTATAATTTAGATAAACACAATATATATATATATAT